AGAGGCTTCCTCTTATCTACTACAGTGGTTCTGCCCTTCAGTATGCAGCCTTAAGTAATAACAGGAGGTTAAATAACATGAGGCTCTATTGCTAGAACCTTCCTCCTCATTACTTGCAGACCTAGATGAAAGTATCAGTCTTACCAATGAAAAGAAGATAGAAAACTTCTCAGACTTTGACTACTAGTTTTTGGAGGCGGTGGTGCAGGGCAGGACGGATGCCGGAAGTTGGTGGCGTGTTCTTTGTGGGTTTGATGGTTTTTTTCTCTGGTGGTGTGTTTTTGGGGGTAGTGGTTTCGTTTGTTTGGGTTTTTTTAATACTGCAGGAAGTTATTGGAAAAACAGTTTAAAATGAAGGTGTTTAAAAGGTGTATTCACAGATTTTTAAGCACTGCTTAAAGAGATCAAAATTTGAAGTGCTCAAGGAAAAATACATTGTGAGAACAACCCTAAGATTACCAAACTTGACCACATTTTTCCTTTCCATGTATTATTTAGTGAAGATGAATACAGGCAGAGTCTGTTATTAATAGATTATCCAACAACATGGCAGTAAGCAACCAGCAGAACAAAAATCGTAGATACTTGTATAGATTATTTTTTCCAGACACTTTAAAATATGCTTCACTATTTAGAAGACTGCATAGTGATACACGGGCAGCAACACTGAATTTCTCAACATCAAAATATTTTGCAAGAACTTACTGCACTGAAAAGTTCAGCAATACAAGGATTTACTTGTTTGGTTTGCAAGAGAATGTTGCAAAAAAAATCCCAAAGTCAGTAGCTTATCACCTTGATTGGCCTCACATGCTGTGCAGTATCTCTTTGGCCTTGCCAACGGAAGAATTTACGCAGTATCTGTTTCACATTCACTAGCCTCTCTTCCTGCTCTGAAGTGCAACACTTCTAATACATCACCAGTAGCCACAGCTGGTTCCAGCACAGCATTTTCCACTTGAAACTGATCACAAAAACAAGTTCTCCCATGACATTCTCAGGAGAAAAATCTGAAGCAGACTTTTCTTCAAAAGTACATCTGAAAGAGTACCTAAAGGTAATCTTCACAAAGGAGACAAACAATAGTTGATAAACACCATAAATGGCAAACACAGATCATTCAACTGCTTTTTCAAGAACGCTTTAACAGTTACACTGTGAACAACGCACAAAAATCACCAAACACGCTCTGCTGCATTCCTCCAAGCCAGTACGAAGAATTTGGGAATAAGGGCATCTAGTCTAAACTAATAGGATCAGTGCCCAGTTAACAAGATTACAGCTAAAAATGCTTTGCCACTGAAAAAGAGAGGAAAAAAGAAAAAGACAGCTGATGGCTGAGAACAATGAGAATAAGCCCAGCAGAATACTGTGGACTTTGCATTGTGTCCTAAAGGCAGATCAGATTGTTATAATGTTAAGCTTGGTTCAAGAGCCTTTTGTGAAAAACGAAGGTAATAAACCAAAATTTGTACATCAAGAACAAACCACAGCTTAAAAATCTGTAGCACATTTACATAAGGTTTGTGAAACTCCAGAAACAAGTTCAGAAACTTTGCTAGTCTTCCAGGAAACAAGAATAAGCAGTAGATTTGCAAGTCTAAAAGGGTTTAGAGTATTCAGAGAGTAAAGACATTCCAATCTCAATTTTTGATATTTCACATGCAAACAATGTGTTCTGTTAGACTGGGAGTACCAGTGCCCCTTGTTCACCCTCTATAACAAGTGAAGGCTCACAGTTGATCCCACAGAAGTAATATCAAACAACTTTTAACTCCAAAACTGATTTTGCTCATTAGCTTTCTCGCAATCCGCCAGAAAGGCCATCAAATCAACCTTAAAGGCTGTAAAAAAAATTGCTTGGTTCTAGGTAATTTAAGAAACACTCCAAATATGCTATCATTACCAAGTTCGCATTCACATGTAAAGAGCAGAATTCACTTTTAAGAACAGGTGCCCAAAATGAATGAGCAATCCATACCTCACCTATTACTTCAGCTTTGTGAGTCAAAGATCTACAACAGAGCACTTTAAGGCAAAGCTACATCATGCAGCTTCATGTAAGCTGATCTTGGCCACTGCATTACTTAAGTAGATGAAAAATAGAGAACAAGTCCCTCTAAAATGAGGAATCCATGATTATGTGCCTCTGTTTCCCAGACAGGTAGCACTGAGATAAAAATGCTGCTGAGCCCAGCTTATACAGCATGGCAATGGGAAAAGCTTAGAATGATTAATTAATTTTCTATCAAATGCTGTTTGTACTATTGTTGTTTAAAGGCGTCACATTACAGAAAGTTTAGCAAATGTCTTGAAAGATTTTCCTTCAACTTGATTCATCCTTCTAAATACACCGAATCAAGAACAGCTCATTCCAACTGGACAGCATATCATTATAAAACAATGGCAGAACACGTATTATCAATTACACATGCAAAGTGACCGAAGTACAAAGTCATACATTCTTCCAGCTTAGCTGCTGCCAAAAACGCAGGTCAGAAAAGCTTGAATCGTCTGAAACAATACACAGTTATTTCACTTTGGACTTACTTTTTGTAATAGCCTATTCAAAGACATAGCCTTGTTAAGCACCTCAGTGACTGATCTCATTTGGTTCCCCTCAGATTCAGAGTACCATAGATTCTACTTCTACTAAACACATCACTTTTTAACGTTTGTCACAAGAACTGTGCTGGGTGCCCTGCTCAGCCTCCTCTTAGGAGATAAACATAAAAATACTATTTTAGATTTCTTCAAACATTACCAGACATCCTACAGCAAGACAACAACTAGTAACATAAGCCTAGTCAAAAAACCTGTCAAGCAGCATCTGGTACATACAAATAGATTTAAAATTAATGCTCCTTCTAAAGACAATAAAGGTATTTCCAAAAATTTTTTGAAAGACACTTTTCTAGAAAAATACTACAAAGATTAACACTGCGAGCATCTGAAAGTGAAAAGCTTTAAGACTCACTGACATTATCAAATAGATCACACACCTTTAGCACAATGAGTTCATGAATTAATTGGAGTTGCTTTGAGTATTGCCTCAGTTGTCCATTCTTACTCAGATTCCTGTAATAAATGGTGTTTTGGGCGGGGGGGGGGGGGGGGCCGCAGAGAGGAAGTGTGTGTTAACAAAGGCTGTAGTTCCCCTGTGGTGGTGAGACTTCTAAACCAGTCACCGACCGGTTACACAGAAAACAAAGCCAGATACAAGAACACCAGATACAAAGGGAAGAACACTTAAGACGACTGCTGTAATTGAAGCCAGACGCAAGTTTCTCAACATACAACCTCAACATGTAAGATTACATCCAGTATTTGGCTTTAAACAAAACACTCTCACAGGGCATTTTAACCAAATCCAAGAACAGCAGTTCACTTTGTTACATGGAGAAGTTGAAAAATTTGCAACTTAGGCCTCATTATAGCACCAAGTACATTTACTCTTCAAAAAAAAAAGTTTAAGAATGCCTGCTTTTCCAGTTCTTCTATGAAACACCTGATACTGCTTGCTTTGGCTGCTTTCCCAGTTATCCCTGTTTTAGCATGTAACTACACCATCACAGCTTCTCAAAATGCAATTCCTATTCTTTCAGCTGTGAAATAAAGGCACCCAATTCAAGAAAAGAAGGAAAGTGCAGTATAAAATAAAGACTAAATCTGTTTTCACATAAACAACTCTGTTTAAACTGCAAATATTCTGCTTAATTCAGGTGTGTTTATTCTATTCCTGCAAAAGGCTGTAGTGAATGAGGACAGATGGCCACGACAACACTGTCTCCTCCACTGCACAGCTCCAGCTTACATGCAGGACTACAGCCAGCTGTGTTCGGGGAGAAGGGCGAGGAGGGGAGCCATTAACCTCGGAAATGTAGACTTGTTTTAGGTTTTCTAAAATTAATACATGATCTAGAATGTGTTGTAATTACAACCTTACAATAGACCCCACAGGCCGCTATTGATGTAGGTGCGCATAAAACTATGCCGGGGAAGGGTTAACAGATTAAATGTAATCCAGTTTGACCCAGCATCTAAATCAAAATCGTTTCTGCAGCTCCAAGAACGAAATTCCTTTATGGCATAGCACAAACGTGAGAAATACTAACTTTGAAAACAACTATTAACTAAGTTTAAAAAAAGCACAACTTCTTGAACAAAGTCTTTCTGGAGAAAACCGAAGTTGCATTGAATCTACTCTGACGTATAGATTCAGTAGTTGCGAAGTAAGCGAATAGGACACTTCAATAACCTCAAGCGAAGTAACTCCTCCTAGAGTCTGCTGCACCACTGATTTTCTTCCAGATCAGGAAATTATTAAACACTACTGAAAGTTTCAGACAGACTATGAAACAAGGAACCTGCATAATGAGCAACTGGGAGGGATTAATCTTGGCACTTTAACTGTACGGAAATCCTAGTGACGCATCTGTTGCGGGTAACAGAAAGGGGCTGCCATTTCATTCCTGGTTGAGGTTCTCTGCAGTCTCAAGCCTTGCAGCACATAACTATGAAAGGAAAAGATACATGCCTGAGCACGTCCCTTGTCCCAACACGAGAAGGGGGAGGGTTAATCACGTCCATCCGCCATTTTCTGAGCGGAGGAGGAAGACATGTTGGAACAAAAAAAAAAAAAAAAAAAAAAGAAAGAAACAAAAGAAAGCAGCCATTTCCAGTACCGGCTCCAAACTCTCAACCTCATCAAGAGCAGTGGCTCTCACCGAGAGTCTCACACTTTGTTCTAAGCAGGACAAGAATTTCTCACAACTCGGGAGCTGCTGAAGATCTCACTTTCAAAGCACAGTACGTACAGCTAAGAAAAGACAGCGGGCCGGTGGGCAGGATACCCAACCAGTTGTAGAGCTTGGAATGGAGCATTTTTCCCTCCCAACAGCCCAATCCCTTCCAGATAAATCTCTTTTTAATGGTGGTATCCTGCCTCACACTAACATTAAAGAAAAGTCACTATACTGGCATACACGAATGATTCCTACCGTATATGTGGGATGCCAACTCCTCCCTGCAGAATCTTGTATAGTTTGCTTTCATACAGCAGCTGGGGATGTCTAGCCTTCTGAGACTCCAACTTTACAGCAACTTCCTACAGTGAGAGGGAACAAGGAGTCAGAGCAGAGCGTCCACCAAGCACAGCTTTGCCACTGAGGTTTAAGGTGCAGAGCACTTCAATATCCCCCATACACCCCTGCTGCAAATGCTTTGAGGTATTATTTTTTTTAAAGTTCTCGGTGCTCAACGTCCTGCATTTTGTTGCATCTTCAAATAAAATCCACATCGTGATGATTTGTACGTAAATATCCATCCCAGGTCATGAAACTGAGCTGGAGATGTAAAGTCTTCAGATCCATGTAAGTGAGGAAGAACATACGTGGGTGTTTCTTCTTTACAGCTCAAAGCCGTGAGGGGGAGGAAGAAAAAAAAAACACCAAGGAAAAAAGAGCTGAAAAAACAGGGGATCTTCTTTGTTTCTATTACTGTTGATGAAAATGAGACAAAGTGTTCCCCAGCTGAGAGAGGGGGATAGATGATTGACGGCAGAGGAACGACTTTGGCCGCTCATAAAAGACAAAACTATGTTTTCCCACAATGATAGTCTCCTCTCCCTACCACTCGCAAGCAAGCTGGGTGGGGGAGACCACGTCCGCACGGCTCTGCCGTCGGAAGGGGCTGTGCCACCCCCCGGCGATGAAGGCCATCAAGCGGGGGAAGCCCCTCAACCCGGGGTACGCACCTTCACTCCCTCACCCCGCAGAGGGCGGCTTGGCCACCCTGGCAAGACGAGGCCGCCCGGTGCCTCACTAGCAGCGATACCAGGGGCAAGGG